AATGTACTAGTAAGCTTGGAGTGGACTGTGCCCCCATCGGCTACCATCAACTCAATTATTGCGAAACTTTATTGTTTAGGTGAACAGATAAATAGAAATTTAATTTGCTGAAGGCAACATGAACAACAGTCGAATAGTATTAATTTAGGAGCACGAACAATTATCGACCATCCTCATCCTGCTATAGTAATATTAACTTACGTATAATGGCCCTGAGACAAATGGAGAAGACATCTTATTATGGACGTAGTGCAGTCGCTTTATTATATTATATCCTTTTTATAATTATAATATGATACTTTTGAATCCATATAGCATATTTATCATGAAAAAAAATCGTTCCATTTATTTTTATCTTTTTTTTCTCATAATGGAAATACGCTCATTATCAAAACATATGCCGGCAAATATTTTCATTCATTCTTTGTCTGGTAATTTTCATTACGACTCATAAATAAAGCGTAAACTGTAACACTAACAGTAAAGTATATTTGGTGTAAGATGATCCATATCTTTGGAACCATTACCTTAAAAGATGAAATGGTACAGTAATCAGCCTGAAGCAAATAACTAAATATTAAATAAGCGTGGTGGCCATCCTTTTAAACAGTTCTCTTGTACATTCCTAGAGTATAAATTTGCAAATAAGCCTTCTTACTAGCCTTGGTTGCCAATGTTTTGGGATTTAAGCTGATTGGTCACCTAATTAAGCTGATTGGGTGCAGCTGTTAACTGCGTGGGAACTAGGTTCAATTGGTTTCAGTTGTCAGTCACCCATATTTCGGCATACCTCATCTGCCCTCATTTGAAATTGAATGGCCTTTATTTATATCGTTTCATCTTTAATGCTTATAATAAGGACCGTTCAAGGTTGATCACATCTTGATCCCCTCATTCCTCAAATTATAAAGCCGAAAAAGTACACCCGGCCGCGTAATTATACGAGACAAAAACACCACATACTCGATCATTAATTGCTTTAAAAATGATTTTGGACACGTTCCATTAAAACTAAGCAAGCTCTAGGCCACGGCAGTGAAATTTTGGGAGTAGTGGAAGATAAAAAACACTGTTGGTCTCCTATACCCTCTGGAGGATTATAAGTTAAGTTGAGGCTAACTTTCGAAGGCTCTGGAGAAATTGTTTACAAGATGAAACAGCTGATCAGAGAAAATTTGTGTTTTAAATTTTCTCAAATTGATTTGTCCGGTAAGCCAGGAACCCCGGTGATTGCAGGGGATTTTAATTTACATGTTGAAAGACCTAAAGATCTTTACCCCGCAAAGTTTCTTTCCCTTCTTGATCAGCTTGGTTTCATCCAATGTGTACCACTAGAAAGAACTCACAATCAAGGAGGAACTCTTGACCTCGTGATAACGACCAAAGTCTTTAAAGACTCTATAACTTCTATTAACATTGTGGAATCTGGGACTAGATCAGATCATTTTCTTGTTAAATTTGTAGTGTCTGTGAGCCTGAAGACCTCTTTGAATGATACTAGGGTGATGAACTACCGTGATTTTAAAAGTATTGTGGTTGAGGATTTCAAAGCAGATATTTTGGTTTCTGATCTCTGTAAAAGAGATGCTTGGTGCTCTGAGAGTCTTGATGAGTCAGTTAAGATGTACAATAGTATTCTATTGGAACTTATGTACAAGCACTGTCCTGTGATCAGTAAGGAGATGAAGAGTGAAGACAAAGGTAAACCTTGGATGGATCAGGATCTGAAAGCTTTACAGAGGCAGAGGAGAGCAGCTGAGAGAGCCTGGAGGAAAGGCAACGGACAGAAGGATATTTTTGTCAACCTTAGGAACAAATTTATTGTCATTGAGCGACAGAAGAGGATTACTTACAATAGAAAAGCCCTCTTAGCCTCTGCGGGAGATACGAAGGCTCTGTACAAGAAAGTTTATAGACTCACGGGTGAAACTACCCAAGAAAGGCCACATGGTAATGACACTAAAAAACTGGCAGAAAGTTTTAAAGTTTTCTTTGCGGATAAAGTGAATGATATCAGACTTGGGATAGAAGAAGAAGGAAGTCATATCGGAGGGAACTTGTCATCGTCAGAGAATCTTGAAAGCACCTATTCAGGGCCATCATTTGATAAATTTCACTCCATCACTAGGCAGCACCTGTTACACACCATTTCTAAGATGTCTAACAAGTTTTGTAGTCTTGACCCTATTCCGACTTTCATGTTGAAGAAATGCTCTCAGGAGTTGGCACCGATCCTCCTGCACATAATAAACGGTTCTATGTTACAAGGTGTGTTTCCAGCCGAGATGAAGACCGCACTGGTCAAGCCCACTATCAAGAAGAAGAATGCTGATCCAGATATTCTGAAGAATTACAGACCAGTCTCAAATCTTGCAGTTATGTCTAAACTGATTGAAAAGATTGTACTTGAGCAGTTAAACAATCACTTACATTTAAACAGTCTGCATTGCCCAGTTCAGTCTGGATACAGAGCGAACCACAGTTGTGAAACCCTGATGGTCAGGATGGCAGACGATATTCTTAAGGAAGTGCAGAAGAACAACATTGTGATTGTAGTCCTACTTGATCTCTCTGCTGCTTTCGACACGATTGATCATACAATCCTTCTTAAGAAGCTGGCAAAAGATTTTGGTATTAAGGACTCTGCATTGAAATGGTTTAGTTCATACCTCTCAGGCAGGTTTTTCAAGGTTAAGGTAGATGACTCATTATCTGACTTCCTGTGTCTGTTGTTTGGGGTACCCCAGGGCTCTCTATTGGGACCGATCCTGTTCATCTTATACATTAAGCTGCTCCAGGAAATAGCTAGAAAGTATGGTCTCGATATTCAGCTTTATGCAGATGACTCACAACTTTATATAGCTTTCCACCCGATGAGACCCATGGAGCTGCAGAATGTCACTAGTAGGATCAATGACTGTCTGTCTGAAATCAAAGTATGGATGGTTAATAATTTCATGAAACTGAATGAGAGCAAGACAGAATTGTTAGTCATCGGAAAGCCTTTGGTACTGAAGAAGTTTGACCTTGAAATAACAATAAAGTTTGGTGACACCATTATTACACCAACTGTATGTAAAAATGATACCTGGAAGAGTCTTGGAGTGTTACTAGATGAATCTCTCAACATGGAAAGACAGATTAACAACGTTAGGAAGAACTGTTCCTGGACAATGAACAATCTTAGAACTATCAGAAAGTATCTAGATGAGAGAGTTAAGCTCATGCTGGTCAAACAACTGATCATATCAAAGCTGGACTATTGTAATGCCCTTTACATGAATCTTTCAAAGACTAGAGTGAAGAAGCTGCAATCTGTTCTAAATGCAGGGATACGTTTCATTTACGACATATATGACAGAAATACTGACTTGTCTCCTTTCTACAAGAAAGCTCATATTCTCCCTGTTGAAAAGAGGATATTTTTCAAAGTGTGTCTCATCTGTTTCAAAGTGACCCATGGATTGGCACCAATGTACCTCCAAGAGTTGGTTCAAATGAACAGAGATGATAAGGCTGTCAAAGAAACCAGAACAAAAACAGCATGCAACCTTCTTATGAAGACACCTAAGTTCTCTAAATTGAAGGCAACTAGCAGGCGGTTCAGCAACTATGCACCTGAATCATGGAATTCTCTCCCTCTTAATGTCCGTAACATCGACAATATTGTCTCTTTTAAGGGTAAGTTAAAGAACTATTTGTATGATCAACTATAGCCTGGTTAAGCTATTTTTTGTGGCTTCTAGTCTTTTTTTGTGTTATTTTTTGTTTTCCGAGTATCCACTTCTTGTTTTTCTGGTTTTTATCGGTGTGTCAATAAAATCAATTATGTAATATGTATACTTTAACCATTTTTTGCGACAGTTAATCTGATATTATCTCTTTAACATTATTTAGTATTCTTTGATTTATGAGACCCGTGTTTTGTTTTTAACTTTCTGCTCCGAGGAGGAGAGAAAGTTATTTGAGGAGAGCCGCTCAGACATGGGCACCGTATTGTGTAAATTATTTAGTTAACTTTATACAATATCTTTGTCGCATAGTAGCGGGGTAGTAAATACAGTGTTTCGTTTCGTTTCGTTTCGTTTCGTCAAATATTGGGTTTCATTTATGTAAAATTAAAGGAGATGAAAAAATCCCCAAATACCATGATTTAATTTGGAGTACGAAATGTGGCGGTTTTCGGAAAAAATTTCCATATATTCATTCCCAAATCATTTAGATCACCGGAATTATGTCGAACATAAATATGTCTCGTAAGGTAGTACAGAATTGTGTTGCGAATAAAACTGCTGTTTTTCTATAAAATCGGATCATAAACTATGTACAAGTAATTTTATACACTATGTATATTGTATATAATTTGTATATCATTATTAAAGCAATTAACAGAAAATCCATCATGCAGTTTTGCCTGTACATTTGTACATACGTTTGTAACATGCTTCTAGCTTCTATAGTGTACAGCTATTCGTATAAACAATTTTATTCAAAATCATCGTTAATCGCACAATGATAACTGATTTTCATTCTGGTGAAACACAAGGAAATGTTTTAAAAACTTCACAACCTCAGAATGGAAAGCTTTATCTAAAGAGAGGATTTTAAAGATTTAAATCGGGGACACCCTTTGTTATGCAAATGCAATTTAAAACAATTTTGAGACTAGTTAAAAAACTTAATGACTCATAATTGACTCCATTTTAAATTCAATCTTGACACTACTTAAAAATCTATTGAATAATCAACTGCCACACAATTGAGAAGTATTTCCAATTTCTAGATTCATCCATTATTGCCTTTCTTAGACAACTAAATCATTGAAAAAGAGAACAAAATTCATGGTGCATTTAAAAATCGTCATGCTAGAACAATTAGGAGTGGAAAATATAATGGTACATGCATTGGGTTCTAATGGTACCCAAAAAGCAAATAGTATCTTGAACCAATAAATGATTACATCATGAATTACCATTTACCCATGGGCTCTTTCTCCAATATTCAATATTCATCCCTTAACGTATTTGGAACCGAAACAGAATCGATCAAACAATTCTTTCAAGTCATTAAACTTGATTACCTACCGTTAGTTACAAATATCCCAATGCAATGGTATAATGCATCGGAATATTGCAAGATCAGTCATGCACCATGTAAGACACATCAGAGGCACCAATAAAGAGGGCGGAGATTACTAAATTAAAAATTGAACGATCCCATGCTGACACCCTTGTTGTCTTTTAGAAATATTCAGCAAATATGGCACTATGAGTGCAACTGCTGCAGTTTAATGGTGCTTCCGATAACCATACCTACTCTCACAAAATGTTAGCATATTAAATAATCTGGTTCTTACCACATCTAAAATTCCATTGCATGCATGCACTATTGCATCTTTATAGAAACAGACTTACTGTTAAATATTTTAAATCACTATCGGAATCGATAGATCTTAAATCTTAGACTTAATGCGACAAATCTTGTAAATCTCAACTATCACTTTCAACCAACCTCCAGGACTTGACCTACCAGTTCAATCCTAATTGAAGTGCAGTAAAAAATATATAAACGTCACAACAGCTACTAAGTCAATTAAAGTACTGTGTTCCAGCATTCTAATTGATGCGCGGCTCAATCAAAGTAAGGCTTTCCAGCATTCTAATTGATGCGCGGCTCAATTGCGTAAACTCTAATTAAAATTCTCTGGAACTGGTGGAATGTCGATTGTGACCTAGGTGACAAGTTTGATGAAATCAATGTTTTCTTGACACGTGACCAATCTACATCATGTGTCACGTGATCGTCTGATGAGGTCAGAAGCTGCTACCTAAATCCAGGGAGTAGACTAGATGGGGGGAGCTAGTGTCTTCAAGTAGTGGAGGTTGGGATGAGGTTGGAGGGCTGTTTCGTTGGAATCGGTCTTCTTATCATGTTGTCTTCTTTCGTTGACTGTTGGAAGTTTAGTGTCAGTTTACCATGATGTGATGTATTAAAATGTTAATGGTTAAGTATTTTACTGGATCTAAATACAACGTTGTAAGATTCAGTTATTTTTTGTGATTGTGTCTAAATCTCGCACAGGGTGATCATACTGCCTACCATGGCGCACACCAGTATTATAAGTAGAGATCCTTTATAATTTAATCTATTAACCAATATTGCAAACACACCATCTCAATGAGTGTTATATGACGCACGGATTGATAATACTAATACTTTTCTTAGCTTACTTTACTCAACTTGGAACCACCTCAAAACTTCCAGTACACCAAATTCACTAATGTTTACTTATGATAACTCCAATTGCAGATAAAATAATGACTAAAAAACATTAAATCGCCTCTGAAAATATCAGAATCCAGGTAAATGTGGCTTTTACCGCGAATGTCAAATATTCCAAGAATTCCCCAAAGCTGGAATATCAGCTGTTACCGTGGCAACCGTTCTTCGCACTTATTAACAGTGTGTATTAATAGCTCTCTGTGACTCTGTAAGTTTGTTGATCACTGTATTTCACACCAGAGCACTGCTTGATTTAATCTTATTTGTAACTGTCACAAATACTTACTATGGGAATTTAAGGCTAAGTAGAAGCATAAGTAGATCCATATTGCTTACAATTTATTATAATCTGTCTTAACAAAGGTTTTAAAGTTCAGATCTATCCGATTTGTAGCCGGCCCAGGTGACGGGTAAATGTTGTATTTCTCACAATTAGATGAATACGCTTCTAGATTAGCCTAATCGAATAGAAGCTCGTTTCTACGGGCAACATGCACAAATGTTCTCTGTTATGTTGAGAGAACTAGGTCAGATTGGGAGTCATGAGTCGCGAATAATCCGATTTTTTATGTGGCAGAAATTGTTTTAATTGGTTTTATAGCCGTCATAAAATGGAGTTTCATAAAGTGTTCATTTCTGCAGAAATAAGGTGGAAGAAACACAAAAATACGCGGTGGATAGTTTAGTAGTTTAGTAGAAACGTGTGGACAGCAGACATGCTCGTATTAAAGTTAATGTAGATTCTTATAAATCAAAATAACGGAATAGCTAGCACATACTAAAGATGAATTTTTAATTCTGATAAACTATCATTTAAATTTTAGTGAGAACATACCCAGACACGATTTGAGGCACCAGCCTTTCTTACAACAGGTCTTCGTATCAGAACAGTCTGAAGAATACAAACATATTGAATGAAGTACAATAAAAGTTGAGATTATCATTTTCGGAATGAAAGGACATGTGAAAACATTTTTTTTAGTGTAGCATCATTGCAAAAAACGACTTATATAATGAATAATCCATGATTCGTAGAACTAAAACCCACGATAACCCTCTTTAGTATATACAAGTACCTGAGCCATTTTCTCCACATTGATGCTTGGTCTCCTCAGACTAGGCGGGGAGTCTGTGCAACACACTCTCTTGTTTGGCTGCATCACACTGATATCTATTGTCCGGTGATGTGAACCCGCTGCAAAGTTATTTAGATTAGAGCCTACTGCAAAGTTATTCAAATTATTCTGTTGATTTAACTGATTAATTAATTGAGTTGTTTCGGGTATTTTAATACTCTGCCATTATGAACCAAACATAAAACATTTTGGGTCCCACATCATTATTATTAATTAAATCAAAACTTTTCCTTGTGTTTCAAATCACACAAGACATGTAGTTATTACTCACACTGGGAAGTGTTGGTGGAGAGGATGAAAGCTTTAAAGTTTGAGCTGGAATTAGTAGCACAGAGACTCCTCACCTCCTCGTCTACTGGGACCACACTGTACTTTCTCTTTAAGTCGTTCTGAAGTAGTTAGTGTTAATCGAAAAATCTTTAGTATCAAACAAAATAGTTTAATCAAGGGATTGTTTATTTGGTTGCTGACAAGGACATTTGAAGTCGTGTCTTTTGTTTATTTTTGATACGTGACGTAGGAATGTTTAAAGTTGATTCCTACAAAAAGATCTAAGCCAGGAATGATTGGAGGACGCACTTGATACTGTTGTCCAGAAGCGATCCCTGCCGAACCTACCTAAAGTAACCTTAAGCAAGTAACCTATCCCAACTCACATTATACGCAGAATTAAGACGGTCCCGATGCCAGCCGTTTCTAGATGATCCCTGTTGTTCAGACTTGCTGCTGTTATCTACCATTTCTACATCTGTCCTGTCCCAAGAGTCTCTGATACTGATACTACTTCCGTGTGATATCCTTAAATTGGTTGGGTTTAGGAATATATGTTTAACTTAAACTATTAAACTATTTATCTAACTTGAAGCTACACTTCACACGAGAATAATTAAATAATTATTATAATTGATGGTATAAGCTGTCTGATTAACTTAACTTACCTTTCAATATTTAGTTTATTTGGTGGGGATCTAGAACATTCCCTGATTCGATTCAGTTTTGACTTTTCTGTCGAACTTTGTCCAAGCACCTCGTCTTCTTTATGTCCACGTTTCCTATCATCCGGAATGGGCACAAACTTCCGCGCTACGTTTTCAAGTAGAGTTGTAGGGAATTTCTGAGTCTCGTTGTCCGATTCGGCAGATGAGATCAGTTTCGTAAAACATTTGTACTCGAAGCGAGGCGAGGGTGTGTGTCTATCACGTGTGGATACATCACGTGATAAATCACGCGTGATGTCGCGTGACATATCGCGCGTGATGTTGTCGCGTGACATATCACGTGTGATGACGTCGCGTGAGGGCGGTGTAACGCGCGAGGGAGGCGACGGTGTGTGTCTCTCCCTTAACGGTGGTGACGGACTATGTCTATGAGTAGTCAGAGTACCTATTCTCAGAGGAGGCGTAGCCTGGTGATGATAATGAGAACCTCGTTCCAAGATGGACAAACTCGGTGTGGGAGATTTCTTCCCTGAGAATGAAACGTTTCTTCTGATAGACACTGAAGAAGGTTTATCCAGATTATCAGTAGATCGTGTTTCTGATATCTCCGAGTCTGAGTGGGATGTTTCCTGACCACATTTAGTTGTTACTTCTCGCGGGGGTGGAGCTGGTTTTGATATAACAATCTTCTCCGCTAATGGACTGAACTCTTTGGAGCTTCTCTTCTCCTTTAATTTCTCCGGCCTAGGATGTATTTTAGCTACTTCAATATGAGGTATCCTGATGAAAGCTGAGGGTCTAGTGGGCTCTCTCTGAGAATGAACCTCTTGAAAAGCTGGTCGTCTCAGGTGTGGGCTGTGTCTCTCCAGAGATTTCAGTAACTGGTTGTTTTGTCCACGGATGCATTTCCGGGGTTTAATAGTTACGGGATGCTTTCGTTCTATCTCAATATCGGGTAATCTCATCTCAAATTGCCGTAGGGGAGGGGTGATGTGCCGGAGGGCGGATTGTTTTAACCTCTGATCTGACGGAAACCTGGAACTGCTCGACTCTCCTTCCTGCAACAGTATTTAGGATAATGGGACTGTAATTCTCCCCCAAGAAAATGACGATATCCTATAAATAACTAAAAAATTAACGTTTTCCTGTTTTGTTGCTAACTTACCAAGCATTTAGGAGAGTGTTTCTGTACAGGATAACTTCTTCCTTCACACGCGTTACTCAGATTAATCGTCGATATTTCTGAAGCAAGCACTTTTGAGCAATTGAATAGTTGCTGGAGAGCTTCCAGCCAAGCTGGTCACGTTCCGCAGAATTATGTACACAAAGTTTTAACCATTTCCACAGATTTTCAGTGCGGAAATTAAACAATTTTGATTGACCGAGGAATTGTTTTTAATAATCTAACATAGTAACATGATCACACGTCACGATCAAGGTTAAATGCTTCCGTAATAACCTGATAATCTAAACCAAAATACTGACTCGATAAAACTTATATTTTGATGGATTTAAAAACTGATAGTGGCCTGACTCAATGATACACAATCTCTAGCCGCACCGTGATTGGTCTATCCACGTGGTCGTAAGCATGCATGGGCTTCTAGAATTATCTCTGACATTGGACGGTCTCCAGATAATAGGTGTAGCGAGCAGAGAGTTTAATTTGCTTTCTTTATAAGGGCAGTGCCCACGTGTCATGGATTCTCAAGCACAAACTAGGAGTGTGACGTTGAGATGGAGCTGGCAGAGTCTGATAAACGGGATAAAGTGGACTTAGGGTTGGAGTTTTGACTACTCAATCGGGCCGTTTTGGGTGATGGGCATTATATGTGAGCGGACTTATATTTCATATGTATAATGCAGCGGTAATTCTGGGTTATGTTGTACCTGATCACACAGAAACAAAGGTATTCTAGCCTCGAGTGACGTCACCAGTGTGGTGACGTCAAATTAAAAACATCTCAATCTCTAGGTAACCAGAGGTAGTGGAAATTTATTTTAGCACGTGACCCCTATTAACCAATCAGCGTAGAACAACAAAGGTTCACCGCCTCACATAAAGGCTACCCAGGGACTGACTTCAGTCGACAACTCAACCCCGACAATATATCCAGATTTAGATTGTCTATTTTTAGTTCCACTGCAGTTCTTTCGTCGAGATTTAAGGGCCGAGCCAATTGTAAAGGTACTTTGTGCTCTCGCAGAACAATTATAAGCGCCACATTCTCCTCTCGTCGTTACATGTCCCAAATGATACTTTAACACATATGACTTTCTAACCAATGAAAGTCTTATTTGCCAAATACAATTATCTAAACTAGAACTGTCTCCCTGGATACCACCATCACCTCCAAAGAGAAACGTCCGATAATATGCCGTCAAATCACTGATCAGAGACAGAATTAAAGTGATTCTCGGGAGTGGGGCAATTCCTGTTCCTACGAAGGAATAACATATGCTTGCTAAGATGATCGGGCCACAATCAAGATAATAATGAATTTGCAGATTATTGTAACTAAATAAGTACATATTATTTATTACTTTATACCGTGAAATAGTGTGGAAGTTATAGATATGTGTTACAAGATCTACATTCTACATTACTATTAGGAGGGGGGTGTAAATAACAAAGGCCACGTGGAGATAAGATTAAGAAATTAAAAATTCGAAATTTGAAATTTGAAAGATCATTATAAATTTACATGTGTCAGATCCAGATGAATTAAATGAAAATTATTCAGCCAAACAACATTCAAAAACAATGAGATGGTTTTAAAATGGTTTAAAAATTGGTTTTAAATTCATATCGGGTATTATTTTGTATTTTGTAACAATGCTCAAAGAAAATTTGTTGACTAAATGGCGTAGTTGCAAACATTGTAAACAACTTATAGTGTCATACCGGTAGGCCAATTAACAACAAATTTCGAGCGTACTAAATCACTCTACAGTCGATCTTCGAGATTGTTCTAAAAGGGCCCCCGACAGTTGAAACCAACTTCAATCGATGTATTTTCGGACGCTGATTCCGAATCACCCCCCATGACATAGGGTTAAAATGCTCCCAGTCCCCTGACGAGATATAGGCGAAAAACTGTCTCGATCACGTGATATGACCGTATAAGGAAGTTAGTCTAATTTCTCGTTAGGGTTAGAGTTTCAGCATATGCTTTTGTTAAGGATTGGGTTAGGGTTAGGGTTGGGGTCAGATAAGAGGGTTAGGGTTTCGAATAGTCGTTCAGGACCAGCTAGAGAACGGGGTGAAAAAGTCACGTGACAGTCGAGTGTAGAGTGATTAATTATCATCCAACAAATTTCCAGACTTATTAGTGTGTTGAATTGTACTTGTAGTGTTACTAAATAACTGATCGACCAGATAACTGAAAATCTTGATGATTATTGAATTTAAAATTCACAAATATTTTGCTGATGGAAAGGTAATTGAGTGCGTTCTTAAACGTATTAAACGTCCTTTTAATCAAAGAGTATTGACGTCCTATTTGCCGTTCTAAATCGCTCACCCAAATTTTCAAATGTTTTGGTCACGTGACAGGCTAGTAAAGCGCAAATTCAATTGTTTAGGGTTGTGGATAGGGTTATGGTTACTGGTTACCTTCGGGGCTATGGTTAGGGGTAAGGTTGGGGTTTATGTAAAACCACTATATTCGGCTTCAAATTGCGAAACCGTAAAAACCCAAGTCACGTGATAATGTTTGGTCGAGCTACATGATACGAGCTCCAATTTGCACATGTTTATGTTAAATAAAACCTCAAAACTCGGCTCCGGCTATAAAATTAAATTAATAACATTACTTTCTAGAAAACTCCTATTATATTATTTCAAATAACTTCCATTTTCTTTTAAATTCATAACCATATCGTTTTATAGAATTAGAACCAGATCTTTATACAGAATGTTTTATTTGTTCTTTAGAGCTCCACCTTAACGGAATTGATTATCACGAAAAAGTATAGAACTGCGTGCAGGTTCGTTCATTCTGGCTGTTTTTAACCACACACTGATAACATTATAGTGTAGCTTTAATTATGGGGCCGGGGGGGGGGGGGGGGGGGGGGGGGCACAATACAAAATCTGGCGAAATTGATTTTAGAGAGTTGTTTCTGATAGAGGGGAGTGATATATATTAGCTGCTTTTGGTCCTACGGAAAAATATTTTTCTTGAAATCGATTTAGAGAGAATTTTTACGAAGACCCCCCCGGCCCCCTTAATGTGTGTGTGGTGGGATGATTGTAGCTTCAAGCAATAAGCAAGAGTGTGATTCAGCTTGAATCAGCTTGATGATACACGGAGATTTAAACATGCAATCCATGTGTAGTCGTAAATGCCAATTATTTTCATTGTTGTATTTTAACGAAATGTAAAAAGAGGCCGTGATTATAATCGGTGAAAGTGTAGACAATGTTCAGGATGTTTAGGAGGTGCTTTTAGTAGGATCTTGGTAATTATTGTAAAATCTTAAAATGACAGATCTTTAATGAACTAATCACGTGTTAGAAACACGTGCTTTTAATTTTGATAACACACCCTGATTCAGAAACTCCAACACAAAATAATATACCACTGACACTACAAAACATTCCGCCTTAAAACATTCACAATACAAAATATTTCCTTGTGTTTCAAATAGAACTACGAATAACTAACCTTCATCTTCAGCCTCTCCCTCACTTAGACTCTCTAAACACGTCTTTTCACCATCTAGGCTCTTCTTATCTGCGTTATCAGTCCTGCAGTTGTGAAAATGAACATTTCCAGCGTTAAAATGAGCGAAATTTACAGCGGTTTAAGTATCAGTAAATGAATATTGTGATACATTGTCCATTCACCTTTCGTTCATATTATCATAATATATTACCCATAAATTAATTAAGGACTGAAACTTCGAATCATCGAAGTTGCCGAAAACTGCACTAGCTATAATTAGATTTTTCACTTTAACGTAATCAATTAATTACAGTAATTGGACTGTAATTGAACAGTAATTGAACAATAATTGGACTGTAATTGAACAGTGATTACCTCTCTTTAAAATCTTGGTCTTGATTAGGATTGTGGCCCTGAAATGGAAATCAGTGTGTCAGTTTATTATAAGTAACATTATAACATCTGATAAAAACAGTGTTTAATAATATGTGGTAATTACTTAATGTGAATGTGACGTTGTGTTATGTTACCTAACATTTTCTTCCTTTTATCATAACATCACGTCATCACTGAGTCGAGTTAGAAACTTTCGGAAATTTTATTGAAAGAATATTCAAATGAGATTTAATTACGGTATCATGAATAATGCATTAATTTATTGAATAATGCGTTATTTATTAGGTACTTTATTGAATAAACTATTATCGGTTATTAGATAATGCGATATATTCATTGCTTTATTGATTTATTACTTTATCAATACGTGCCAGATTGACATGTAAGCTTTGAAATTATCTAATTAAGCTGAAAAGCTTTTTTAATGCCTGAATACCGCTCCCGTAATAATTCAAATTATATCTTAAATTCTCATATTATATCAATAACATGTTTAGTTAATACATACACTGATTTATAAATGATATCTTAATCTATAGATCATTTTGAATTGGATAGCAGGATAGAATATGATAAAAGGTTAAAGCATATTACGGAAGTGGTTTTCAATCGTTATAAAATGTCCCTGTGGAGTGGAAGTTATTATCATTTAATCATTGCATAATTGCATAATTGCATAATTTCTGATTTCTAATTTCTATTCGCCCAGATTCAGGCCGACAGATTCCCGTTTAAAACGATGGGCCATTAGTTATGGCATTAGACTTTAGAGTATCTTATACGTTTCGTAACACTGTTATTGCTTTATTGGAGCTGGTAAGACATTTTTTTAACGATGGGAATGTATATTGTATAGGGTGCGTACATTGAAAATTTACAAATTTGTAACTTGATGCTATGAAGCTATGAGAGCCTGATCAGATGTAAGATTTTATATATTCCTTTATGCAATTGTAAGTGTTCGATCCACCAACAATATTATTAATAATGGCCCAATTGTTTGGAAATATTGAGCTGTAAGATATGTCCAGATTATTATTTTTTAGATTACATTACCAATACAACAAGATAAGGTTTTAAATGTGACGTCATCATTTCTTAACTGGATATTTTAAACTTTGTGAAAACTTTTACACTTGCATTTGTTACCTTATCAGTTTTACAAACTTAATTCTAAAGATTATCTAAATTTTAAATGCGTGACGAAATGTGAAATATTTGTTATTGCTTTTAAAATGATTTGCCGAATTTGTAACTATAAAATTACTACATTATTAAGTTAATACATTACTTAATCAGTTTAATTATCCAAACCAACTAGCGGTATATCAACAAAACCAAACAAACAGTAACAGAAACGTTTAACAACACTTTCCCGCAACCTGTAGTTTCACTTAACTTTCAAACATTTAAACCGCGTTTATAGTATAAAACAAAACGATTTTTACCTGTAAAGAAAAATGTTCAGCAGGTTTGACTTCAGTCAAGGAGTGACTTGAGAACTTTTTAGTGAGGAAGCGAATCATTTCGGGCATGGTCCGTCCCTAAAAGGCACATAATATTTACAAACAACACGACAACACTCATACACGATCTCCTACAAATGTTAACACCACTGCAGGATCATATTAGAAATCTATGCCCGTTGCCATGGCAACCTTCACAGTACGAGCCACAGCCTCTTCCACAGCAATTTAATTATGGTTGGTCAGCCTCTTCCACGGGGTACTCGTATAACCTAATCGACCCGGGCTGCTCCAGCTCTGTTAACAAATACAATGTATTTTAGAATTTAGAAGTGGCCTAAATCCCAAGCGGGGGTGCAGCTTTTGGACACCTGCCCGCAGCTAGGCAGTGGGGTGAAAATTGGATGCGATTAACGGATCTGGTACACTGGAAGTTGAAACACGAACAAATTAGCAAATTTCAAACGCTCTACTACCGAGCAAAGTGACGAATCTGCCATTAAAACGAAGCAAAAAAAAACTCTCAAATCGTACTCAATATCCACTCCTTCGACAACGAATCAAACCATACGTCAGCTCTGCGTGATACAGGCGGCATGATAGAGCAAATGACACTCGATGTTGGATTATTGCAATTCAGCAATCGCGCCTAGGTCACGTGCGTATAAAAAATTTCCTCCGCAGCATGTCACTAGAGTATGGAGCATGAGACAAGATAATAATTTTTGCTTGCGGAAATGTCACGTGATATGATTGTAAGCTTCTTCTCTAATTCTGGCTCAGGTTGGCAGCGGTTGCTTCTGTGATCAGTATTGTGTGTGTCACGTGTTCCAACAGAGCAGCTACAATTTAGCTCACAACTTCACGAGAGGTTGGATGAAATGTTTTCATTGGCCTGAACTCAAATTTGAAAACAAAACAAAACATCGCGATCATGGTGAACGTGTGAAGTACGTTTTTTAGTGTGAATTTATAAATGTTGGATAAGGGTATTAAAAGTGTTAACTGTAATTAAGGGGCTGATGAAAGTTATTAAATTTAACAAATCATGACAATCATAGGAGGTCTTCGCAGCAACTAGTTTATCACCTGAACATAAGATCAAACTTCCAGCACCTCAATTTGTGTTCAGAAAATTTCATATTTGAAAATGGGACAGAAATTGGAAAATATCAATTTTCGTTTTCTTAAGCTTTCTGCTGTGAGCTTCCTCCGACCGGAATCAAACTTCCAGCACCGCAATTGTATCATATGTCATTTCTAATTAACTGAATAATTGGTCGCTAGAGAGAAATTCAGTCAAAACTGTAAAATTTTGGTCCTGGAAATTTCATCTTTAAAAACTTAAAATGGTACAGAGAATGGGACAATATGATTTTTCACTTTTCTTCGGGATTTTGACTTCCAGTACCACAATTTGGTTTTTTACCATCATCAATTAACTGACTAATTGGTCTCTGGGCAAAAATTTCATCCAATCCGTCAAATGTGTGTTTAAAAAACAGAAATTGGAAAATATGAATTTTTGTTTTTTTAAGCTTTCTGCTCATCTGCTGGGAGCTTCCTCCGACCAAAATCAAACTTCCAGTACCCCAATTGTATCATATGTCATTTCTAATTAACTGAATAATTGTTCGCTAGAGAGAAATTCAGTCAAAACTGTAAAATTTTGGTCCTGGAAATTTCATCTTTAAAAACTTAAAATGGTACAGAGAATGGGACAATATGATTTTTTTCCCTTGTTTTTGTCTACTGTTTCTTACCATTAAAATATTCATATTATTCATCTCATCTTCAAAAAGGTGGTTTGGTTAAATGTTTGGACGATAATGATATTGACTAGAGTTAAAGAATTTTAAATTCCACATCAGCAACCAGCGAAGTCAACGAACAAGCCATTACAGAGTTGTTGATTGATAAGTAACTATAAAGTACTAATGGACGCTGGATTGAGCAAATTATTGATAATTAAGTATTTTTATTGCATTATTCTAATTTTCGTATATTTTTATGACCTAAATATACACAAATGGAGTGATTTTTTATTTTATCTCAGAAATTATAGCCATTTAAAACCCAAATATTATTTTCAATTCACCCTGTAGATGTCGATCATTTTTTACAAAGTTGAAATTAGTTTGTAAAGCTCAGTTTGGCCATTTTAAAACATACAACATTTCAATTCATTGTCAAAACAGGGTTTGAAAATGGTTACATTGTGATTTATCATGATACTCTGACCAGTCTAAAAGGAAAGAAGTTAAGTCAACTCAAATCCCAATGAAATATAAATTATGCGAATCAAATCATTAAAAAATATTTTATTTATAAACAATCAATTTGATTTATTAAAATCCCAATAAATTTGATCGATTAAAAACTTATACGGATTATATTAATTCTTTCATTTTCATTATCAACGTTTTGAGATATTTCAAAAAATGGCGAAGGTAATTTAACCATGAAGAGTAATGAATTGTCAACGTTTTCGCCATTCTCGGATCATCATCGTAAAAAAAACATGGCGATGATCCCTTCAATTCAACTTTTACCGAATGATAAAAGTCAATTTAATCAATATTTAGTTTAGTGTTTACAAAATTTAAAGGATTACAGTCATCTTTTCGCAAAATTCATTTATGAATATAGTAAAATACTTTCACCGTTAAACTTTACCACTTAGATAACAATTAATAAATTAATCGTTACATGTTTCAACACTTAACTCGAATAATCATAGCTGAGTTCAACACACTCGGGCATAAAGTCACTTGTGAACTACAAATTATGTGTCGGAGGTTAAACGAGTCCTTTAGTTTGAATTTAGTCAAATCAGCTCTCTTTCATATACTCGCTTCTTTTGCATCTCCTCCCGACTGCATACCAGAAAGTTTGTTGACCTTAACCAAACTCGGTTTAAATTCGGCTCGCCTTGATGCATCTTTAGATCTCCAGATGGCGATATCCTGATAAATGCACGCTATAAGAGACACTACACTAAATCCTGCCAATATCCAGCCTCCTTGACTATAGGTCATGATATCCATCACTATCAAGGCAACCAAGTGTCCTCCATATACGGACATCATCCAGGCAGAAAGCCATAGAGTTGTGGCAATTGACTTGTTTTTGCTTGTGTATGGTCTTCCACTTAATACTGTATGGGTCTCCTCGATTGCTGGAATGGTGGCTACCGCAATTAGTTGGTTTCCATACCCTTGGAGGAATATACCGAAATAGGCTACCTGTGGGACTCCTTCGTACAGAAACTTTATGCCCTGACCTGGGAAGACAAGCATCACACCAACAACGCAGATAAATGAACCTGCTGCCATGATTTTGCTAGCAGAAAACCATCCTAATTGCAAGATCGAGCCGGAACTAGCAGCCCCTATCATCAATCCAAGGAATTGTACAAACACATAGCTGCTTCCACGACTTATTGGTAAACCGTAGATATCGTTTAGGTAAGGAGTGGTTATGGCCGTCGAGAAACCTTCAAGCACTTATACCGTGAGACTCATTGCAGCAAGAGGGATGGCAACCAGCCAGGAGAGGCCAAGTAGTGAAGAAACCTCTTCTCCCTTTTCTAGAACCCTATCTTTGTTGTTAGTTTTAGTTAACACAATTTCATCGGACCAAGGAGCTTCAATGATGCCACCAGCATTTCTTACATTAACAAACACAGGTTCAGAAGTTCTTGGCATAAAAATCAAATTGTATACCCAGAATAGGAGAAAAGCTATGCCAGCGAGCAGGTAAGGCTCCTGGTAGCCAAAAGCTTCGTAAGCATGCCCTCCCATGAGAATTACAAGAGAACCTCCTAAGTAATATGCGCTACACTCCAGTCCAAAAACAAGATTGAAGTGGTCGGGAAACCAAGCTCTACAGCACTTAACTGTCACTTTGCCGCCTTGGAAACCCACGTAGCCGTGGATGACGCGCATCAATATCAACAGAGCAACCAAGAGTTTGTTGTAGTCTGGTGGGAGCATCTCAACGATCCCTATTACTGAAATCAGATAATATTAAATTTAATGATTGTTACTAATTTATGCCAATAAATAATATTCCTTAAAAATGTGACGATAGGTCTAACCTCATTTGAAGTTAAAATAGATAAATACTTACAAAGACAATTTACTGTGACTATTGCCATAATGACGCACTGGGTTACTCTCAAGGACGTTTTCTTGGTATTGAGAAAGTAACCGGTGACATCATAAAAGGTGTCGCAACTGTAGCCAATACTAGGCGCCATTCCGATGAGACCAACTTGGAAGTTCGGGATTCCTGAAATGGATATTTCAAGGTTACTAAATCACGATTTAAAAATATCAATTCCAATTTCATTTCCTGAAGTGTTAACCATAAATTCGGTAGAAATACAAACAAGTAAATGACCGAAAAACTGAAATTTGATTTAGAAAAAGCATCATATTCAAACCTCTTTTGACAAGATGAGTAACGTAGAAGGTTGATTGCACAACTGCGGCACCGTAAAATGTCACACTTTGTAAATAGATTGCTCCAAACACCAAAAAGGCTTTCCAGCTAAATCTTCTCCAAAAAGATGAAAACTCCATTTTGCGATTTCTTGATTCTTTTTAGCTGTTTTGAAGTTTTGCAATAATGCATTGGACAAAAATTTGTAGTTTATACTGATTAGAAATAACAAAAACAAGGCTAATTAACAAGAAATTTTAATTTAAAAAAAATTGATTCTCCACCCCAGTATTACTATTACATATTAACCACGTCTATCTATCATTTATGTAGACTAGCAGGAACCCGTATAATATAACCCTAAACGGTGTCAAGACTCAAGAGACTAAAATAATTATTACCTATTAAAGCATTTGACCCAGTCAAAAAAGTTTCAGTTGTATCTCTTTTACGGTTTTTGCAGAAAGTCGCATTAAAGTTGATGCCGTGGTGTCAGTAAAATGGCACAGATATATATCGTCTCGCTTTATATATAGTAAGATGATCCCTTACTATTTGTATTTAAAACTCTTATGTTTTTGAGTAGTAAAGAGTATATAGAGATGTAGAGAGCATATATACTCTTTTACCAATGAATAAAAGGATATTAGAGGGAGACAAAAGAGTAACGTCATCCCTGTTTCCTCCCC